CATAGGTCTTGGAAAAATTCCAGAGCTACTTTGTTCCCTCATGTAGCCAGGTCTCTAGAAGCCCTCTCTGCCCCATCCCCAGCTGTCAGGGCCCGTGCTGGTGGTACATTCCATCCTGAACTAACTGGGCCTTTCAGGACAGCCACCGGAGCTTTTCCGCTCAGGGTGAAACAGGATGGCCTGCATTCAGATCTGTGTGAGAAGCACTTTGAAACCTGGAAAGCAATTTATTATCTGAGGCCCAGCTTCAAAGAAGTGCTGCAGTGGTAACATCCTAATCTGAGAGTACTCTTTGCGATCTGGTCAATTCCACATTGAGTTTTTCTCTCAAGAGTCACCCTGGCTGTGCTCCCTTCTCTTCTGCAGTAGTTTCCACAGTCTTCCAGCATTTCCATTGTTCATCTGGCCATGTCCATCTCTCTGTATATCTCTTTTTCTTGATCTTAGCAACACTGCTTCTCATTCTCTTTTATGCCCTCAGAATAGGGTTGCCTGTTGAAGAGTAACATTTCTTGTTAATGTAGTAATAAGTAATATTTATTGAATTATTGGTGTGAACAGGCAATCTGCTTTAACCAGTTGATCTCAGCTGGCCTCATTTATCTGGCCTAAGGGTAAATGTAACCTCCTTTTTAGGCAAAAAATATTTGGGGACATTTGTCTTCCTGTAGAACAGCGCTTTTTAACCAGGGTTACTTCCGCCCTTCAGGGGACATCGGGAAACATTTGGGTTGTCACAACTTGGATTGCTACTGGTATCTAGTGGGCGGAGGCCAGAGATGCTGCTCAACACCCTACAATGTACTAGGCAGCCCCCACGACCAAGAATTTCCTGGCCCCAGATGTACTGTACTAGTGCCAAAGTTGAGAAACCCTGTTTTAAGGTTCGGGAAAAGAGAAGACAGTTATATCAAAATAATCCCATTTGGGCATTCTTGTGGAGGCTGCCTGCTTTTCCCAGTTTTTTCATTTTTTAAGATTTTATTTACTTTTAAAGAGAGGGGAAGGAGGGAGAAAGAGAAGGAGAGAAACATCAAATGTGTGAGAGATACATCGATTGGTTGCCTCTCGTACACCTCCAGCTGGAGACCCAGCCTGCAACCCAGGCATGTGCCCTGACTGGGAATCAAATCAGTGACCCGTTGATTTGCAGGCTGGCATTCAACCCACTGAGCCACACCAGCCAGAGCCTTTTCCCAGTTTTGAAAACACAGATGGACATGTACATAAAACTCAGCATCCAGTTCCCTAATCTTTAGGATCCCAGAATGTCTTCTGGCATCTGGTATCAGCCAGGGGTGGCTAACTCTGCTGTCTTTCATCTACTCCCACACATCTTCCTGGGGACATCTGCAGTGTCTGAGGCAGGTTTTCATTGTCTTTACTTGGGGGGAGAGGGTACGTCTGGCATCAAGTGGGTAAAGGTCAGGAGTGGTTGCTAAACACTCTGCAATGCACAGGACAGCCCTCCCCACAACAAAAAATGACCTGGCCCCAAATGTCGGTGGCACCCAGGTTGAGAAATCCTGCTTTGACACAGTTTCCTTTATTTTTGGAGAGAGAAATATCGATTTGTTTTTCCACGTGTTTATGCATTTATTGGCTGATTCTTGTACGTGCCCTGACCTTGGATTATCCAGATGACACTCTTACAACTGAGCTACCTGACCAGGGCTTGAAACAGGGTTTTGATTTGATTTTATTTTTTTTTAAGAGAGAGGAGAAGGGAGGGAGAAAGAAAGGGAGAGAAACATCAGTGTGCAAGAAGCGCATCAATCAGTTGCCTGTCGCATGCCCCCAGCTGGGGACCTGGCCCGCAACCCAGGCATGTGTCCTGACTGGTAATTGAACGAGAGACCTTTCTGTCGCAGACCAGTGCCAAACCCACTGAGCCACACCAGCCAGCGCTTGAAACAGAGTCTTGATTTTAAAGGCTTGTAACTGTCATTTCTAAACTGAGAAAGAGAAGCCAGGTGGATGTGTGAGAGAGTGTTAGGGTGGGCACCAGGAATAGAGAAATTTGGTTTCTAGCAGGTGAGGCTGTGTGTTAATTAAAAATTTCTAATTTCATTGATGATACTAGTAACAAACCAGTTACCAGTATAGGCATAGCAGTTTTATTGTACTTCACAGGTGTTGCGTTTTTTACAAATTGAAGACGAGCCCCCACTCCCACCCCAACCAAAAACATTATGACTTGCTTTATTGTGGTGCTGGCTTCATTGTGGTGGTCTGGAACTGAACTTGTACTATTCCAAGGTCTGCCTGTATCTGGCAGTATGTTGGCAAATTCCACACCCATTTCATCTCAGCTGAAAATTTTCAGGCCTTGCATAAAATCAGTTTGGGCTTGAGTGGGAGGTTAGTGAGGTTTTACTTTTTAGTATGAACAGGTCACTGCCTGGGCTGCGTGCCTGGGCTGAGGACAGTTGAAGAATCTATAAAGGAAAGCAGTAAAAGAAATAGGCAGCTATGTTCAGCCATCGTTTTGATCCCCCTGGACTCCCTGGGTAACACCCACCCCCTCAATAGCTATCTGGTACTTAGGGAAGACAAAAATTGGGGAAGATGCTTTTATATGCATATTTCTGGGGAACTATGGAGGTGAAGGAACCTTAGTAGTGAAATACAGACTTGAAAGTTCACTTCTCATTGTCATGTGTTTTTAATTTCCAGACCTAAACTGCTAACTGGTTTTCTGATAACTCTTGTGGCCTATCCTGTAGAGATTTAAGAGTGTAACTAGGGATAGAGCTGGCAGCTGGCTGGAATGCTGGCCTGACCTCCCCTGTGCCACCCGCCCCCACCCCGCCCGCCTGAAAAGAGGGAGAGGGTTTGAACTGAAAGGTTGATCCTGTCTGAGCTAGGAGGAAAATTCACAACCACCGTATCCCATAGCTTTGAAGTTTGTCGGTCCTCCCACCCCTCTTTGTGCCTCAGAGGAAACATTGAACTTCCTGTGCGATGCATGGGGTGGAGGGAGGGTTGGAGGGCCTAGAACCCTAAACTATTAGGGTGTTTCTGGGTGATGTGGCTAGTGTTTGGAATGTCTGCAGATACCATCGGCACCAATCTATTTTTTAAACTTCAGTTTGTGGAATCATGCTTTGATTTCCTAGTAAAGTGTAAGTAATAAACTTGGAATGATCTTAAGATACAAAAATCTGGAACTTGTAACCCCTTCACTTCAACGTGGATAAAAGTTGAATGGAACCTGTGCACTGCGAATGACAGGTGACAGGCAAGGTCTGAAGAGTGGGGTCCTTGAGTTCAGCAGCTGCAGCTCAACTCTGGAAGACCCGTCTTTCCCAGGGCTGCAGGCATGGGAAGGGCTTTGGCTATCGGGATGTCCATGTGTGATTGGAACTGGGTTAATTCTGCCCTTACAGGAAGCCACCCTGCTGACTTGATCTGTAAGAAAACCCTTGAATTAGCCTTGTCCCTGTGGGACCCTGGGTGGAGACGTTCTCTTTGTGCTCCATCAGTGGACTGGCCCGGCCACTCCCCCAACTGCTTAGGTGGAGTCACCAGCCTGTGTTTTAGCTACAGAAGAGGTTTGACAGGCTGTTCTTCCCTAAAGGATCTGGGGAAGGTGTTGGTGGGACTCTTTAAACCCTGCTCCCACCCGACAACCCCCACTTCCTAGGTCTGTCTGTAAAAGCAGGTTAACCTGACCTCCTTCACAGAACCCACTGCGCACAATCACAGAGCCTCTGTCACCATGCTGCGTCCTGTGCGTTCTTGTTATTAACAGACCAGGACTAAGGGATCATCACATTCTGATTCCTTCACTGTGACTGCTGAATAAGAGGCTAAAAGCTTACCTCTGACTCTGAATACTGTGTAATAAAGACCAGTTCAAAAGATTTAAAACAAAAAACAACAACAACAACAAAAACAGTTCAAGTGCCTTGTAATGAAATCGCCCTGCTTATCTGGGTGTGTTTTAAGGCAGAGCCATAGGACACTTTATTATATTCCATGTGCCACTTAATAACAGCCTTTGAGGTTAGAGGTTTCACAGACTCTCCCTGTTCAGTTTCAGAAATTGGGGGCTGTCAAATTTTTGAGACCCCAGAATTATCAAAGACTTAGCAATGAGCCCAGGAAATCCTGCTGTTTATCCACCCACCTCTTTCCCCAGCCTTCCCTTCACCAAACCAGCATCTGAGTGCTTAGTGCACTTTGGAGACTGTGCTCGCCCTTTTGCACTGCTGTCTACATGTGCATCTGTTGCTTTTTTCCTCAGAGAAAGAACTTGCAGGTTGTGACCAGGCCTGCCATTTACCTTTGGCACGTGTGTCTCTGGCCTTTGGTTCAAGGGCATAGGCCAGTTAGCTCTGCCCTGGCCCCTATCTCAGCCCTCCTTTTCTGAGCTGCCAATATTTTGGAATTGATCCAATCTGAGGAAACTTGGTTTTTAATTTAGGGCTTGTAGCCACCTTCCTCTTTAGGATTTCAGAGGCAACTGCATGTTTTGGCACTGTGGTCTGGAGGCTGGGTGGGGGAGTGGCTGGGAGGAAAGTCAAATTGTTTCTGTTTCTGAGTTCCAAGGTGGGGTGAGGTTTCTAAACTTTAGAGGGTTTGATGCTGAAACTTTTAGGCCACAGGCCTTTTTGTCCCAGGGGTTAGGAGCCCATTGAGGAGATTCTATACCCTGTGCTCAAGTCCTAATGGCTTTTTAATGTGCCCGGTGAAGTGTTAGGGGCGGTCCGTGGGTTCTTTTTCAAGGCTGTCCCTGGAAAGCTAGATGGAAGAATGTGTCAGAATGTGGCAGCAGCTGGCTTCCTTCTCTCTCCCCTCCCGCCCTCTTTTTCTCTCCCCACCCCTCTCCCTCTCCCTCTCCCTCTCCCTCTCCCTCTCCCTCCCTCGCCTTTCACAGGGCTGGCTTTGGCAGCCACTTCCCAAAAGACAACTTCATCTTCCTTTTCCGCTCTCTCCTAGAAAAACCTGCTGACTGGGCTCTGAGACTGGGGTCAAGTGGAGACTCCCAGCCACAGCAGGACAATAGCTGTGCGATTTCCTCCGAAAAAGTGCAGTTTCCTCTGGAGGACCTGACTCAGCATCTGTCCCCTGCCTGCTTTGGAAAGGGCTGCTGCCTGGCTGCTGGGATTACACCTGGGCATAAACGCTTCTGGTGGGCATCATGCCCCGGGTATGAGACAGCCAGCCTGGCTCAGCAGCCACGGTCTCAGCCGCGTTCATTGTCCCAGGAGATGCTGTTATAGCCCAACGATGAGAGATGCCATCCCTGTGCTGGGCAGCTCTGCTTGCCCTAGGTCTGGTGAACATGAGTTCATCCTCCGTGTATCCCTGCAGCCTTTTCATATGGCATCTTCCAGGACCTCTGATCCCTCAGATCCCCCATCTCCAGTTTCGTGGACTCCTGTATAGCAGCTTCTCACTAGAGGACCGAGGTTGACTTGAATGACTATTCTGTTGCCTTTGTTGCTGGATTGTAAGTTCTTTGCGGCCAGGGACTGTGCTTTCTGCTCACTGCTCTGCGCCCAGTGATGAGCCTGGCCCTGCATGTTCCAGGAACTCAGTAAATACTGAAGGCATATTTGCCTCACATGTGAGTGAGCAGATGCTGTGGAGTGGATTGGGAGAGTGCAGAAGTGGGAGCAGTCGAGTCAGCACGCCTGGAGAAAGCAGAGTGCTGGGATACGTGGTGAGCAGGCTGTCCCCAGCTGACCTGGGTGCAGTTGGAGCTTCAGCCTGGCATTCAGGACTTTCCGGAGCCCTCGCCCTAGTCCTGGCTTCAGTGTCCACCTGTCCTCTTCTAGGGTCACAGTCCTACCAGTCTGCTCAGGCCCCACCCAGCTACCTGTACCTCCCCCCGCTCCGCCCCCCGCTTTTGGAGGCAGTGCTTCTCTCACCTTTCCCAGCCCACCTGGGGTCCCTCTGCACTTCCTGGTTGCCCTTTAAAGCCCTCTGTGCATCTTCCTTTAGCCTTGCCATCTCCCTGACCACCCACTTCTGCACCCTCTGAGCATCTGGTGTGGTGGTCTCCCATCGACATGCCACATACCAAGTACATTCTGGCATCAGATGCACATTTCTTCAAGTCAGAGGCCAGCTCCTGAATGAGCAGGGCTGTCTAGGGGTTTGTGACAAACCCCAGTCCCCTGGGTTATGGCTTTCTGACTGTGTCATCAGAAATGGTGGGCCCCATCCACCCTGGCTGTGGCTCAGTGGGTTGAGCGCTGGCCTGAGACCCAAAAGGTCTTCAGTTTGATTCCCAATCAGGGCACGTGCCTGAGTTGCCGGCCAGGTGCCCATTTGGCGGCGTGCAAGCGGCAACTGATCAATGTCTCTCTCACCCTCTTTCTCCCTCCCTTCCCCTTTTCTCTAAAAATAAATACAATCTTAAAAAAGAAAGAGAGAGAGAGAGAGAGAGAGAGAGAGAAAGAAAGAGAAAGAAAGAAAGAAAGAAAGAAAGAAAGAAAGAAAGAAAGAAAGAAAGAAAGAAAGAAAGAAAGAAAAATGGTGGGCTCCTTCTTAGAGTGGGAGTTTCTGGTAGCGTCCCCAGGGGTGGTTCACTACCAGCCCCCTCCTGGCCCTGGCAGAACCCCAGGGAAGTAGGGTGGCTGGTGAGACCATTGAGGCCTTGAAGGGCTCCAGTGGGAAAAGGTCTAACTAGTTTAAAGAACAAGAAATCAAAGCTCAGAGCTTGTTCCTTTGGCTTAGGATCTGCCTACCTCCAGGGCTGTGGTTGAGAGGGATCTGTACTTGGCTGGGCCAGAAGAGCCTGGCCTGTGTCTCGATCAGTCTCTATTTCCTGGGCCCCAAGACCAAACCCAAACTTCCTTGGAGGGGCCCGGCCTGCTCAGAAATGGAGTTTGTTGAGCTGCATCTTCTGCTAGACTACTCCCTGGCCTCCAGGAGCCTCCTCCCCGGCCCACTGGGCTTCCCAGCTTCAGCCTTGGTTATGTTTGCCAGCCTTGGCTTTCATACCTGCCTGCTCTTTCTCCTTATCTCTTTTCATTCCCTTCTCTCCCACCTTCCCTGCTTGTCCCAGTTGGCTCTCTGGGTGGCCTTTTCATTATCTCTCCCTCTCTTCTCACATCTCTGGCACACACGACCCCCTCATGCATCTTGTCCTCCGGATTTACATCTCTAGTCACTCCCAGCTACACCCTAAACCTGCAACCATCCCAAAGGTAACTGAAATGCAAAATGCTCCTAGTCTCAGTGCACCGGAAGCTGGCCTCCTTACACACCCGCCCCCACCCTTCCCCGTCTTCGCCCTGACTGCGTACAAGGACCTCAGCTCACTGCCACCTTCTCCACATTTTTCCCCTTCTATATTGACTCACTTTCTAAATTTATTTTAAAGGGATCTTGATGTTCTTTGCTATCACATTATAGTAACCGAACCACCAAATACAACTGAAACAAAGCAGGGTAATCAATTTTACTGGATACCTTACCCCTGAGCCTGGTGTCTGTTCCCTCTTGCTAGAGTTGTTGAAACTAGAACAAGGAGTTTTGAAGGAGCTTTGGAGAACAGGAACCCCTCTAAACAACATTACCTTCCTTCTTCTTTTTTAAAAGAAGAGTCAAAATGCAATCACAGTGTTGCCATGGTAATTAAGTTAGGAGTTAAAGTTCTATTGCTGTCGATCTGTCTGCATATGGACTTAAGTCCCGCAAGAGCCATCCCTTTTCTGACACCTACAGCATATATGATCAATATTTATCATTCTTTTTTACTTTTTTATTGAGTTTATTGGCATGATATTGGTTAATAAAATTGTATAGGTTTCAGGTGTACAATTCTATAATATATCATCTGTATACCTTTTCTACCTTTCTTCTTTTGGCACCCACAACCATCCGCCTGATAGTCTTCATGGAGAGTCAGGAAACCCTGCGGATTTGAATTAAGGCTCAGAAGAGAGAGCTGTGGGGTTAGGGTGGATTCCCAAGTGTCTGGGAAGAGGCATGATAGTAAGTGGCACAGTTCAGTTGATATTTGTAGACCCCAGAAACCACCATGGCCAATAATTCAAATATCTTTTCAGCACAGCTCAGTCCAGCCTATGTTCTGTAAAGTGGAACAGTCGGTCAGTGATTTTTCTGCTGTCATTTTGGGCCTCAGCCCCAGGAGTGAGAGGAGACTTGGGTCTTTAGGAAGTCCCTTGGGAAGGAACTTGGGAGCCTCCCACCTCCTTTGACCTCCAAGGCCCCTCATTGTCCCCTGCCACCTACCTCCCCAGGATGATGCCCCTTGGCTGCTTTGGACAGGTGGAAAGGTGTCCACCATCCTTACAGCCTCAGCTCATCAGAGCTGTGATTATCTAAAGACAGACAGGTGGGCAGCCCTGGCCTTAGGCCAACCTTTGTGGTTCAGAAGAGACAGACAGGGAATGAGGACAGGATTTTTCCGTCCTTTAACCTAACCCACCTGGCCTAGCATTGTTCCCTATCTCTGCGGAGGTGGGGAGTCCTTTCTAGGCATTAATCCCTTGCTTCTTGCTGCTCATAGGGCCAGCATTTCACCCTCAGGGAGTCTTTGAGTTGCCACAGCCCCTCACTGATTGCAGACTAGGTGTCTGGGCAAGGTCCCTGCATGTATGTATGTGCTGCCCCCACAGAGACTGACTGGCTTTGAGGTCCAGGACATCAGAACAGAGATCGTCTTTCTCTCCTAGGTGACGGGTTCACTTCCCAGTGGAGAAGTCTCATGCATTTCTGTCTGGAGGTTCCTAATCAATTCCGTTCTTCCCAGGGGACTCAAGGGCAGCTGAGTGCTCTCTTCAAGCTCCTCGCCCTCAGCATTGGGTGGGCAGAAGACACCAGTGGGCCCTTTTGTTTAATAGAGTCCCTCTACCACCTCTGGACTGGTGGGCCTTGGAGTCCTACGTCGGAAGTGCAGAGGCAGGGGAATGTGTGGGGCGCAGGAGGAGTGGATGTACGCTCACTGGGGGAGGTGGGGTGGGGGGGCCTTTTGCCCAGTCTGAGTCCAGGAGTCCTCACAGGAGAGCCTGCAGGAGAGGAGATGTCCTCCCAAGAGGAGATTGCACTTAGCAGTTCACAACACATTCCCCAGGCCCACCAGCCAGTCGGCTCCAATAAGGGGCATATCCCTTTCTAGGAACCTTGTATTTGCATTATAAAGTGTCTTAGACGTAGAAAGGGGTACAAAGAATGACCAGCCCTGGCTGGCGTGACTCAGTGGAGTGAGTGCCCGCCTGCAAACCAAAAGGTCATCAGTTTGATTCCCAGTCAGTACACATTCCTGAGTTGTGAGCCAGGTCCCCAGTTGAGGGTGTGTGAGAGGCAGCCGATCAATGTTTCTCTGCCTTTCTTTCTCCATCATCTCCATAAACATAAATAAAAAAACAATAACAAAAGAATCATTAGCTATAGCCAAGTGCCCCCCCCAGAACTTAAATAAACAACAATACAATTAAGAGTACTTTATACCTTCACTGCATATGGAATTAACACTGCAAAATGCACAATATTGTTTTGCAAGTTTATACATCCCATAAATGGTATCGCATGGTTGTTTTTGTGTATAATCTGCTTTCTTCGCTCAGTACTATTTTTGTTCCATTCACACTGATGCCTGTGACTCTAGTTTATTTCCACAGGCCTATGGCTCCCTTCGTGCAACTATTCCACGGTGCTTTTATCCATCTCCCTGCCCGGGGGCATTTAGGGTATTTCCAAGTTTTTGCTCTTTCAAACAGTGTGGCAGTGAGCGGTCTTGTAGTTGTCCCTTTAGGCACATGTCCAAGAGTTTCTTGAGTCAAACCTTGTTTAACGTAACCATATAGGTTTTCAGTGGTACCAGCCCGGAAAAAGAACAACGTATTCAATTTGCATGGACTCAGAGCTGACAGGGGTCATGTTTTTGAGCTCTCATAAAGGATGATATTTCAACTGTGCTCCCCTGGGCTGCATGTGCCCAGGAGCCCTGGCCAGGAAATGGCATGTGTGGAGAGGGGGCTTGGTGTTAGCTCAGTGTGGTCTAGAAGGAGCACAGACTATAGATCAACCCAGGGAAGCCCACAGCCACTGCCAGCACCCAGGACCCCATTTCTGCCCCATGTTCTCCTCATAGAATTAAGTTCTTCACCAGCCTGTCAATTCCTCAAGAACCCGTGTTTTCTGTTTTGGTTTCGGCAGTGAGAGTAAGCCAGTCCCCAGTTGAGGGTGTGTGAGAGGCAACCGATCAATGTTTTTCTCCTTTCTTCCCAGGAAGAAAAACATCAGTAGCAGCACCTGGCATCTTCTCAGGCTGGGGTGTACAATTGATCCTCACTGTTGGCAGAGTCTGTCTGTATTTGCAGTTTCACCTACTTGCTGAATTTTTTTTTTTTTCAGTAACCCCAAATCAGTACTTGTGCCACTTTCACAGACATGTGCAGAGCAGAAAAAAACAAAAAAAGTTTCCTAACAAGCTCTGCCTTCGCGTTTCAGCTCTTGTACGGTAAACCAGCGTCCTTTTTGCTGTTTATTTAGTGGCACATTTTTTTTTGTACTTTTGTGCTTTTCATAGGTGTTTTCACTGTTTAAATTGGCCCCAAGCGTAGAACTGAGGTGCTGTCTAGGGTTTCTAAGTGCAAGAAGGCTGTGCTCTTCCTTGCAGAGAAGATATGTGTATTAGAGAAGCTTTATTCAGGCATGACTTAAAGTGCCATTGGCTGAGTTCAATGT